CTGCCTCATTTCCCCTTCCCCTCCCAGCCAAGCCCAGGAAGCCCCTGGTGCCTTGGCACCACCCTGCCGTGTTCCCCCCCAGCCCACGACCCAGCACCCACCACCCTGCTGTCGGCATTGGGGGGCCCGCGAGCCCCCACCCCATCCCTCTCGTTGGGCTAACGCATCACTGGGGTCCCACATGCCCAAGCTGGGGGGGCACAAAGCCAACAGGCTGGATTTGGGAAGGGGGGGTGGGATTCAGAGCCAACCCCGGCGTGGACTTTGCCCCAGGTGTGTGCATGCCCCGGCAGCAGAGCCCGGGCCCGCTCAGTGCACGAGTGCCGGCCCGGCAGCGGGTGGGCAAGGTCAGGCCAGGCCATGCAAGCGCTCGCACGCCGATGCCCGCCAGCTCCTGCCCCGCTCCCCGGGAGGGCATTCCCCCACGTCCTCCCTCTGCCAGGCGGGAGGCGAAACGGGCCGGGACCCATCCCCATCCCCGCGGGCGCCTGGCGCAGCTGGGGTTGGCACCGCTGCTGCATCCTCGCCCTGAGACGGCGTGGCCGCATCCCGACGCAACACCCGTGCCATCCCCATCTGCATGGGGGAGCATTGCCCGGGAGCTGGATGCCCACCCAGGGAGGACGATGCTGTCACCCAGGGTAGGGGGGCCGGAGGTGCCGTTGCCCCCCAGGACCCCCCTTGGCATCGTGGGGCGGCAGCAGAAGCGTGGAGACAGCCCCGGCGGGCTTGGTGCTTTCGTGGCCCTGGCACAGGGCCCACCTGGGACGCTGCCCGGCCGGAAAGCCCTGTGCCACCCTGCTGCGCCCCCCGCCCCCCCGGCACCTCCCAGACAATTGTCCCCCCGCAGCGCCCACTCGTCCCCGCTGCCACCGCCTCCCTGCTTGCAGGGGCTGTGCAGTGCTGCGGCGGTCCCAAAAAGCTTGGGTTTTGACCCAAATTACGCAGCCTCGGAGTTTGGAGCCCCGCTGAGGGTAGAGCTGAGTCCTGCCCGCCACAGGGACGGGGGTACTTGGCGTTGTGGCACTGGTGTCCCCTCCTTCTGCAGGGGGAAACTGAGGCTGGCGGGGGGGGATGCCCAGGGTGGGCAGAGCCTGGCATGAGGAGCCGGCGTGGGGCAGGCAGGCGCCCAAAGAAAGGAGCCTTTGTGTGGGGTG